AACCTTTTGTGCCAGTCAAGTTCCTCAAAGACCGGACAGGCCTGGATTTAGGATTTTATGTGATTTTTATGCTAATTCGTAATTTAGTTGATATGTGATTTTGGAATGTGTGTGTAATTTAATGCGATGTATTTATGAACATGTGGGTTTCTTTATGATGACTTGTGTATTTATAATTTCTTTTACTTTATATTTACATCCAGGCCGTTGGTGTTCGTTGCCTGGGTAATCTCTGTTCCCTCTCGTCCTTCTACCTCCTCAGATCTTCACATACACATACACACACACATTCATACACGTACACGTCAAGCACCAACTCTTCATCTTCTTAGTATTGATTATAAATATGCCTTTTTATTATCATTATTTATTATCAAATCTTACTTGCTTGCTTCGCTTTTATTTCGTTGTCCTCTTCGTTTTCTTCCTTTCTACGTCCACTCATTTCAAGATTCCATTCTTGACTCATCAAACATTCATAGTATAAATTGAATACATATTCATTTCTATGATAGCAACAAAACATCTAAAGAATACATAGCAACTAATACTCATAGAAAACTCTCCGATATAATTCAAAAATGTTATTATGTCATTTCTGAAAATAAATGAAAAACACGTTTACTTACATCTGGAAGCTATAGTCTTTAGACAAGATCAAACATTTTGAAAGTGATTTTACATAGAAAACACATTATTAATTGATCAATTTCATAATTTGTATATGATATACTACATGTTTTTTTAAACTTAACTTAAACGTGTCTCACGTTCTCATTTCTTTTATTCCAAACTAATCGTTCAATTAATCAATAATCTTCGGCATAAGATTAAATTTAAATACGAGCTTTGAATACTTAATTACTCCACTTAATTATTTCCATTCAGAAATTAATCAACACCAAATAATGTGATATTTTTTCATTAACCTTTTGACATTAACAATTTTTTCTCTACATTTTTCAATATTACTAAATTATAGTTTAACAAGTCTAGTTACATAAAAATAGACAATATTTAAAATATATTCTCAATAAATAAAATAAAAACGATAGAATTATTAATATATAAAATGTATGTTATGGAATGGGAATAGTGAAAGATATATTCATAAATTATTCCAAATATTGCGGGAATTTCATTGAATGTAAATTATGTTTGCTTGAAATATTCTCGAATCAGCCGTCATTCACGCTCGTGACAGGAAGCAGACGTTTCGTAAGTCATCCTTACGGAATTTTCCCAAAAAATAAAGAAGTTACAAATAAAACAACGACAACAACAAAAAAAAATGTATATACTAGACATCGCAACAACATACAAATCGGATATTATTATTGAAGCAAATACTTTGAAGCGTATTATTTTTCTCCACTGACAACTTTCGAAGGCCTTTCGCGATTTGAATAATGGAACTGCTCGTGATTAATGGCTATCACCTAAGCAAATTTGAATAAACTGTAATTGTAAGCTATTATTTATTTATTTTTCAACGTTGAGTAATTCTCATATTAGTACTTATCATGCAATCACATCATTTATTCAATTTAATTAGTAATTAATTTAAAAAATAAGTACTGATCTCAATTTGTATAATTTGACGTAAATAGTGATGAGAATCTAACAATTAAAGTCAACTTTATAATTAGACTTTTCAATTACATTAATTAAATTCTACTAAAAAAAAAACAATATTTCTTTTGATTTTTTTTTTCTTAATAAAAATAAATTTCTAATGAATAGTTACATGAACATGTTATTTAAATATCTTGTTTATCCATCATTCATTCAATGTAAATAAAACAACTATAAATTACATCGATTTCTGATTACTTGCAGAAAATAAAAGAAAACGCAATGATTAAATAAAAGCCAAGAAACGGTGCTTTTACTTGTACACGCTTTTAATATTTTTTTTTCCTCTTTCATTTATATTTTTTATTTTTTTTTTTTCGCCGCACGATCTTTCGAGCCCCGTGTCCTTGTAAGGACTTTTATTTTACGAGCACATAATTTGAACGTACATAAATTCCAGTTACGTGCATAAATTTATCGTCCGCGATAAATCACAAAATCGAAATTTAATTTATAATTCCAGAACATATACGACTATAATATGTATATATATATAGATACATATTAATCCTAGGTCGTAGTACGTTTATTGATGATCTGTAAAAGGATGAACCTTTAAATAAAAAAAGCGAATCCATTTTCAAACCTGTGTTAATAAAATAAACTTGTAAAATTTGCATTTTCCATTTGGGCGTGCTGTGAGTTATGTAAGGTGGGCACGAATTGCGATTCAGATTAACACGTAATAATATGAATAAAATTGACGAATGGCTTTTCGTGGGCTCGAGTTACAGAGCACACGGATAAGGGATCGGTTTCACCGTTTTCATGCGTATTTAATGCTGTGTGAGAGGTCACTGAGAATTTGCTCGCTTCTAAATGGCGATGGAAGAAATAAGAAAAAATAAGTGAGAAAATCATGGGAGTTTTTGCAATGACAAATGAACAAATCCCATGATTTACGTGCACGCCCAATGATTTACCGCGTATCCACGATCATTATAATAATGTTTAATAATTCTATGCGGCAGCGACCTTCGGGTTTTATGTGTTTCCATTATTTTAATATTTGATTAATTGCAAAGCCGTTCGAAGACATTTAAACCGAACATGTGTACACGCCGTTTCGTTACCAGTTTTATAGGCTATTTGTACAGGCTTTTGATGGATGTTATTTCTTGTAAATGTGAAACAATCAGTTCGCGAGCCGTTCTATCTGAGCTCTTGTTCGAATGACCTCAATGCTAAACATTTCAAATTACTCGAAGAAACAGTAAAATCTGGTATCTTTCTTACAATATTAATATCTGACGAAGATGAAAATTTCAAGATGAACAATTTATTAAGACATTTGCGAAGTTTAATCTTCAAATTTGACAACTTATTACAAGAAAACAGTAATCAAGAAAAATCTAGAAGTAGAATGGAAAGCCATAGTTTTATATTTAATTTAGAAATTCTATGATTTATTGGAGTAAATAATAGAAAATGAAGACAATGAAGCAAATCTTGTTTCAAATTATTAAAAACACGCTTCACGTTTTACTCACAGTAATATTAATAAAAATCTAATAAGCATATGTCTAATTAGAGAAAACGAGTTTTTCAAAATAGGTTAATTTCGTATATTAATTGGTCAAATACTTTAAGTTAACACACAGATTAATCATTATTAATTAGTTTGGAACATCAAAAGATGCAGAGTTTGTTAATTTTAGAAATAAATCGTAAAAAATTTGAAGGAAGGAAATGAATCAATTTCAGTTTTTTTTTTAGTTCACGCCGAAATTATAAGTCACGATGAACAAAATATTAAATGCCGGAAATTGTCTGAACGTGAAATATTATTTGGTTTTAATTGAAAACGTGCGTCTCTACATCCTATTTATTATTTTTCATATATTTAATAAACTGTGAAATATTTTATAAGCAATTTATAAAAAAAAAATACTGCCACTTTCTTCAGAGTTATATGATTTTGAGATTTTCAACTTAATGAAAGAAATGTATATTTTCTGTTAATATTACTGTGTTTTCATGTAAACAATCTTATTGTTGGTATTCATGAAAGTAAGTGAAAATTTCACTTTTGTGTAAGAAAAGAAAAAATAAGTAAATATTTTCTTTAAACATCGGTCACGGAGTTTTCTTTTTCTTCTGTTTCCGAGAAGAAGAACTCGAAGGCAGGAATGTGTCACCTGTCAATGGTTGGATTCCTCCAATCTTTTGCGCAACATTTATTTTCATTCACATAACCAAAAGCAAAAGAATGATGCTGGTGGTTACGTTTTTGCACCGGTGGTCAAATACTTCGACATGTTTATTGCCGTTCATTATTCATTTCACTAAAAAAAAAAGAAAACAAATATTACATAAACGAATTGATTTCGTACGAAGGTTTTCCCCATGAATATTTTATACGTTTTATCATTCTGAATGTATCTAAACGAGTTGCAGGTCGGAGTTCGTATTTATTATTAAAACTATTTAATAATTAACGTTACTCATATTGTTTATTGCTTATAATTTAATTAACTTTACGTAATAAAAAAAAGCTATTTATTATAAAGTAAATCTATTTTGATGTAGCGCAGGAAGCCATCTTTTATTTTTGTAGTTTAGTCTTCATTATGATGTATACAGCGACCTCTGTGTGCGTCATTTTTTTTTATATACTATATGAAAGAGTCTTAAACGATGGCGCGTTGTAAAAGGTCATGGATTTCTCTGATGCTATGACTCAGATACAAATTAGATCGGTTTGCTCTTGTTCTTGTTGATACAATTTGTAGTATTGTTTTCAAATCATTTATTAGACAGACAGTACATAATAATTGCATACATTTATTGTGTAAATTCTATATTTATATAGTCTTAATCCTATAAAATAGAATGTGCTGTGATTAAATAAATAAAAAAACAATTGTATTATTGTTACGTTTTAATCTGTTATAGTTGATAATTTTTACAAAATAATTCCAATTTCTTTGAAAATACTTTTTAAAAAAGTATGTTTTCTTTGCTTATGTAATTAATTGTTTATAATTGTTTATGTGTATTATCAATTTATTTATGAACAATTGGACAAGTAATCATTCATATGTTAGTTGTGTGTTTGAGATGAATGATAATTTGCATGCGTCTCGGAATGTAGGAAAGTTCTTTAAATAGAGATGAGTGGATGGTGGAAAAATGCGGTAAAGGAGGGAATCAAGATTGGTGGATATGCAGAGGCATTATGGCGTTTACCAAAGTGTGTGAGGTCATTAAGAATGAAATGCTCCGATGGTATTTAACCTAATTAAACACGGCAACATCGACTCGTCGTCTCAGTTAATGCATGTGAGCCGGTTCCGTCGGCGGCTGCGACGGGGGTACGAAGAGGAGGATGAGGAGGAAGGCCAAAACAGGGGGAGTCCCCCCGCCGGTCGGTATAAATTGGAAACGATGAGGTCCAATTTTCGTGGATGCACAAGTAATTATGAAAGTTTTTGGGTCGGAGCCCATAGATCCGGTTAACTGTTGCCAATAAGCATATATCAGGCTTGTATTTACCCGGGGAGTGACATATAAGATAATCCCGACCAAAGTAACGAGTCTAGTTATTCGGAGCACGGATCGCGTCATAACAAGTTCAGTCTGAACCCATTACTCGGTCGACCCCGTCAAGTTTAGCGTGGGCGTGGATCTACGTATGCCTTCACGTCTTTCTCTCTATCTCTTCTTCGAATGAGTATGTATGAGTGTTTGAGAGAAGAAAGATCTTCTGTTTTTGTTTCCGGGTGCAAAAAGAAAGGAGTAAATGAATAAAATAGAAGTAAGAATGGTGAGGAAGGAAGGATCTAATAAAATCATCGCGCAAAGACAGGACTTCTCGAGGTGGTAGGAAGAAGTGAGCGAGTGAGAAAGAAGGAAAAGATAGAATGCAAATTGATACATCGCCTGCGGTGCCTCATGCATATTCCATTTGACATTATTTACTTATCAACGACAACTGCTATTTATTATTGCGTAATCCTATACCCGTGCAGGTGCATTTTCTCTTCCCTCTTAAATATTATGCGGCGTTAGATTATGTTCGAAGGGGCGATGAATAATTAAGAATGATTGCGGCCGGTCTATCTTTCTCTCTCACTCTCTCTTACTCTATCCGTCTATGCATGTATATGTATGTAAGAGTATTTGAGGGAGAAAGAGATGTGAGTCCATCCCGGAGGTGGTGGCGTATGCATGTACCATGGATAGAAGGAGAGACTGTGTGTATAGAGAGGGTCCGGATCGATGGGGAAGCTCGTTATTCGGACGACAGCCCCGTGAAACGCGCCCCCGATGCGACAAATCTCAATCTCCCTTCGCCTCGGAAACTTGACTAAACACTCCCTCACTTTTATTTTTTGCGTTTTTCTGTCTTTCCAGAGATGATCGCCGATTACGACGACGTGGAGGACTCGCACTTTTGCCTGAAGTGCCATCAGACCATCACCGGCTTGGACAACTACGTGACCCATCGCAAGAACAACTGCGTCAAATCGGAACCCGATCCTCCAAAGTCACCCCCATCCAGCGAACTCCTCCCGCAAGATTATGCCTTCAGTCTGAAAGCCGACGACTTCTTCTCCAGCCTCGAGTTGCAGAGTAGCAGCAAGAAGACGGTCGCCCCATCGACGAGTGGTAAAACCTTCACCGGCATTCTGACGCGCAGCAAGACTTCAGCGGTAATTCAGGAAAAGGAGCAATCAAAATCTGGGAAGAACGCTTGGATAGGAGGACATCAGTTGAAGGAGTTGGGTACCGGTGATAACCACACTAAGCTAATAAAAGCAGTTGATAATTTAAGCAGAAACGCTTCAATTAAAAAAGAAGATGTAAGCAATGCGGTTTATACCGATGAAGCCAGTGAAGACACGAATTACGAAGACGACGATTTCGATGATGAATACATTCCCAGCGGTGGTAAGTGGGCGCCGCAGTACACGGAACCGGCACCTAGTTACACCGGTGGTAAATGGAAGCCGAAGAGGATGAGTCTGATACCACCGCAGAGTCACACCAAGGGCAAATGGAAACCGGAAATCCCGGAAGCACCGAATCCACCCAGCAAGTCGAAGATCAAAATCTCGAGTCAGTCGAAGAAGTCGGGAAAGGATTTCTGGTGTGTACCGTGCAATCGAAAATTGGCCTCGAAAGTGGTTTATGACCGGCACCTGAAGTCCGAGCTGCATTTAAAGCGGACGCTGCAAGAGTTCGACGACTCGCCGCATTTGAATACAAAACCCGATAAAGAAACGAAAGCGAAACCCGTTGAATATTGGCCGCATGCCGTCGGAGAAGACAATGAGGACACTATGAAAAATGCCGTCGAGCCGAAGGGCGGTCAGAAGAGGAAGAGGGCGGCAAGGAGGATTTATGTGAAATGCTCGGTATGCAAGAGTCGCGTTACCACTCACTTGATGGGCAAGCACCTGATCTCGCATTACCATTGCCGCAAAGGCGACATCAACACGCCGGAAGCCCACGCCATGGTCCTCGACAACATGCACAAAATCGTACTGCATTCACCCTACCAATGCGGCACCTGCAAATTCTACTTCAACACCCACCTCCAATTCTTGCAGCACTGGAACTCCGCCGACCACAAAAGCACCATGGACAAAACTCCCGGCTACATCCTATGCTCTTTCTGCAAGTTCTCATGCGAAGACAACGACACGATGTTCTCGCATCTTATATCCATCGAGCACAAAGAGGTCATCTCTGTTATTAACCGCTCTGTGCCAATCGTTATTAAAAAAATTAGACCTCTGAAATGCTCCACTTGCTCCGAAGAGTTCATGCTAAACATCCAATTGAGGATCCATTGTAAAACCGAAGACCATCAATATTCGAGCACCTCTACCAACGAATATCAGATGAAGGAAATTTGTGAACACTGCAACCTGACATTTAAATCTCTAAAAACCTTGCAAGTCCACATATCTAATAACCACCAAATCAAGAATTTTTACTGCTCAATATGTTCCTTGCAATTCGATTCGTTGGAAGAGAGTGTCTCGCATAGGAAGAGCCCAGAACACAGATGCAAAGCCCAGAACAAACCGGAACCAATACACAAGTGCGAATACTGCTCTTTGATTCTTCAAACCTTCGTAGCATTGAAAGACCACTTAAGAGAAGCTCATCCTGAACGCTTACCATCTTGCGTCCAATGCGGCGAAAAGTTTTCGGTGCCTCAAGAGCTCACCGTACACATCCGTTCGAAGCTCTGCAAATTCACCATCATCGATAACCCGTTCAAATGCAACAAGTGCCCATACAGCACCAAATCCAATTCGGAACTGCTATACCATCAAGCTTTGCACACCGAAGGCATTCCGCAGACGGACAGCAATTCGAAAACCACATACCATTACAAATGTCCCCTGTGCACATTTACCTATCCAAAGTCCTCTCTACGTTATCACATCCAGAACCACACCAACGAGAAGTCGTACAGGTGCGACGTTTGCGGCGCCAAATTCGCACGTAAGAGCCATTGGAAAGCCCATCTGAAGATCCACGAGGATCCGAAGCGAGAGTACAGATCACCCACGGATGGAAGGACGAGGGAACACAGCTACCTGTGCGCCATTTGCGGCGTCCACTTCAACAAAAAGTAAGTCCGTTCACTATGCTTATTTGTTACTTATTACATCCCATACTTTTATTGCCCGTAAACTAAACCCGGTAATTTATGCCTGCTTCTGCTCGTTGCCCCATTGCCTTGTCCCATTGTCGAGGTGTTTGCAGCTAAATAAATAAAATCAAGATTAAAAACGCATAAAAGCTGGAAAGAATTATTGCAGCTTTTATTACTAACCACAACAGAAAGGTAAACTTAAACGCCTCCCTTTCGACACCACCCCCCATCTCAATGACAAAAGCTTTCCAAGAATAGGATCATTTACATGTTACAACTACAAGTTTGTAAATAATATTCTTTCAACTTTTATCGTACCATTGAAGTTTATTCTATTAGCTACATTAAATATGCTGATTTTGATAAATTGTGTTACATGATACAAATTCAAATAGGATTTTCTTTCTTAACAATAATCAATTTGATTATTGAAAAGAAATTGACTGACGACAAAGATAAAAAAGAATATGTATAATAATCGGAGAAATGGTTTTCGGAAGATTGTTTTCCTTCGATAAATCTAATTTACGATTGAATAATAAGAGGGCAACCCGTGTAATTTACGTTCCGGGATCAAGAAGCCGATGGTAATTTGTACGTCCATAAATGAGAAAAGGAAGAAGACGACGAAGAGTAAAAAAAAAGGAGAAAAAGAAGCAAAACAACGAACGAGTACTTGGGACGTTGGCTGTTCCATCCATACCAGTCTTCCTCCTCGTCTGCAGCCCGAATCGGAATGGAAATGTAATCTATTTTTTTTGTTTCCTCTCGTTTTTCATAAATTATTGATCAAGTGTCCGGACTTGCCTGTACCGACTTGTGTATGTGTGCGCGAGCGTATGTATGTTTTGTGAGGGTATAAATTAAATATGCAAAGGAAGACTCCTTCCCAACTTCTTCTCTTCGCTTCTCTTTTTTTTTATACTGTTTCGTCATTAAGAGTGTAAGAGCTGCGATGGCGAGGGGGAAGGGTGGCGGCACGTCGTCGTAAAATAATTAAATTTATGTCGGATGCATATAAAGTGAATATCATAAATCGGCGCGCGGACGAAGAAGAAAGGACGTTGGTGGTGGGGGGACGGGGGGAAAGGTCCCAGAATAAATAATAACGATAATGTTGGTTAAGGAAAAAAAGTAAAGAGCGGTACGACGAGGTTGGTTACTTCGGGAAGCAGAAATTGGTTAATAATTAATTTGATGAGAGATCGCTCGAATTCTTTGCTTCTCGTGTATATGTATGTGGATGCATGCATATATATATGTATGTCTTCATGTGATTTGTTTGTTGAACGTGTGGGGGGCTCGAAGGGGGTTCCCGTCTTTTGCGAGTGCGCGCGTTCCGGCGAATCTGAGCCGCTCTCTGGAAACTGGTTTTAAAGAGGTGGATGCAATTTGCAGTAAAGACTGTTAAAGTATTATAAGATGGGATAAACAAGGGCTGAGATGGACATCGGAGATAGGCGAGGGAGGGAGTGAGAGAGAGAGAGAGAGAGAGAAGGAGACGGGACGAGGATCCTCTTCCTCGCCTCCCGTCTTCAACGTTTTCATCTATCTATCTCCATCTACTTCTCTTTGGATGAAATATACCGAGGCTCGGCTCACTAACAGCATGTTGATTAACCATTAAAGCAGCGTTTAGATCTGTATCCAGATGTGCATTACATTCGGGCATAAAGCACATTCTCTCTCTCACGCACACAAACAACTCTCATCTTCCTCACACTGGAATTATCTTAATAAACCAAAAATAAAACGACCGTCGAATAACATATTTAACAAAAAAAAAAAGAGTACGAAATAAGAAACGCGGCGCTCAACTTTAATAAAGTGGAATGATTTAATGTAATTAAGGTTTAAGTGTGATGACTTCCTAGGCGCTGGATGCGAATTTAAAGAAGTACAGAGAGAAACAAAAAAAAAAACGAAGCAAGATGATGCAAGTAAAACAAACGGAGGAACAAGGAGCGAGATAAAACGTAAACAGGGACGATTTCTGCTTTTTGCAGCTCTGGTATAATTTCATTAACAATAAATTAGTTTGAAGAGGCTATTAGTAAGCGCGTTTCGTCTCTTGTTTTAACTACAATCCATCGGGGGCGGCGGCGTTGGCGGCGGAATCGCCCTTTTCGCCGAAAGAGCCGGATGAATCCATAAAAACAGACAACGTTCCATAAGCATATTGCTACTAGCTACACGGTTTTGCCCTTTAAACTACTTCATTAAATTATGCACGCTAATTAACATTTTTTTTTTTCATTATAAGTTTACTGCGCATTTTCGAAGAGACTAACGAAAACAACTCTGTTTCTTTATTTTTATTAAATTATTATAATTAACGACGAATTGCATCTTGAAAATTATATTACCACATACAAGATTGACTATAATAATATAAACTTTGATGGATTTTTATTAAAGTTAATCAAAGTTACATAAAATCTAGAATAATACTAATTGGTAATTGGAAATTGTTACATGAGGGCGAAGAGGAAGCGCAACTTTATTTTCAAAGTTTGCGAAACTTTACTTGACGTTATTTGAAAACTCGCAAGTTTCGAAACAAACTGTTAATACTAAAGTCATTCCATCTAAAGTCATTCGAGAAGTCGAAATTATTCAAAGTTTGCGTTCAAAAAATCTTATGAAAGATCATTGATACATCAAAAATATAGACAAAAGTTTCATTAAGATTATAATAAATAAGTTAAATCTGTATTACTATTAATTAGTAGGTCAGTATTCTAACAATGTGTATTTTGAAAATGTTTGTGTGTGTATAATATCATGATTTATGATATAAATAGATTACTTCTAAAGATTGGTAATTCTTAATTACTTGGAGATTGTTGATTTATTGAAGTTGATTCGAAAAGTTAGCAATGCTCGAACTGCGAAGTCAATCATCTGTAAAGCTTTGTATATAGCAGTCCGTCCAGCAGACGCCGCCAATTTAATGTCTAGCAATCGAAGTCGTAATCTTAATTTACATTTATACTCGTTGAAAAAAGAAAGAAAAGGAATTGATGAGGCGAAGTGAGGAGGAGGAGGTGGCGGTAGGATTGAAGGAGGTGGTGGAGTAGGATGAGGTGAAGGGGTGGAGGATGAAGGAGGAGGAGGAGGAGGAGAGTCACTGGCATAAACAGAATGATTAACTGGATGTCAAACTAAAGAAATAAACGTTATTTATTGGGCGGACTTGGAAAAAAGTTCAAGCAAAACTTATCAATATCTCGGCGTTAATAACTGCCTTTAATGACGTGGATGTATGTTTTATGATCGGCACGCCACGCGATCCACCAATAGAAATGTAAGAAGGAAAAGAAGAAGAAGAAGAAGAGGGCATGAAGAGGAGATTCATTGCAGTCCATCCATTTCTTTCTCATAAAATTTTCAAAACAAAACAAAACAAAAAAAAAATGAAAATAAACAATAAGGTCAGACCGTATCTGTATCTCCCTTTAGCGCCGCGCGATTTCCTGCTAATCGACTGCCAAAGCGACGGTTGTTGGAGAATGGAGAGAACAACTGAAACAAGTACAGCATACATACGTACGTACACCTACCTAGCTAGTCCACTCATAAATCTGCTACGGGAATATATTAAAAATCGGAAATAATGGATTAGCGAAGTTGGCATCGTCTAAATTACACATCCTGATGTAATAAATGGGCGCGCAACTGGGCTAAGCCAGATCGAGTTTACAGATTTTAAATCAAAAGTTCAGAGCCAGATCCGTATCGCAGAACCTTAATTAGCTTCATGCCGATTCCCGATCCGAAATTAACTAAATAAGTATTACGAAACCTATCATCCGTAGCAATGATACACATACATTGAATTATTGTATTTATTTTATTGATTACATTATGATTATGTTTATATAACTTAACTATTAATTAGTTGTATGTTAAAGGAAAATAGTAATGATCTTTGGAAGTAAAATTTGTATGAAATGTATGTTAGCTAATCGTTGAATGATGCATCGCGGGGATGTGTGTGTATCAGTGCTACAGGGTGGTTCGGCTGTGGAAGGGAGACGGTGGCGGCTCTGGTTGTTGGCACAAGTCCACAGTATCTCATGCAGCTTGAGGCAGTCACAATTACTATAAACATTCCGAACCCTTCACCTATATTTCACGTGGACCACAATTCTCTAATTACTGTACGTTTAGCGCAAAATATGAAGCATAAATTACCGGAAAAGTGGGGTGCTGCGAACACACGTGAACTATTCACTTCTTCCCTATTCCCGCCACCCTTGTGGGTGGTGGTGGTGGATGCTTGAGGGACGGGCGATTTACTGCATTACGGACATTAGCGCGGGAATGGGTATGTGGATGCTACAGTTTTTTTTTTTTGGGTGAAGATTCGAGGTTGCCATCAAAGGAAAATTAGGTATATTTGGGTTATCAATCTTCGGGAAACCGTTGATGATAAGGGATGCACCACCTGGTGGCCATTTGGCACGCATTAGTGGCCGCTGAAACTCAACACACACACAAGCAGAGAGGACATGATTTGTAAGCCAAGAGGTGGCTGCTGAACAAGAGGAGGTGGTGGTGGTTGAGGAGGAGTAGGAGGATGGCACCGAAGGCCTAAGCAGACATTTGCCTAACGTATTATCTCATAATTCCCTGAGTTGTGTTTAAGTAGCGCACTGGACTCACCCTTTGATATATAGGAGACCTGCCGGTCTAATGTATGCTTAAGTTATTTACCCGGTGCGGGATGAGAGGCGGAGGAGGACGGAGGATGAGGATGAGGACGGGAGCGGGTGGTCGCGCGAGGGGTTGCTAGTTTCTAGTTGGAATTACTATTATGGGTAGCTGCTAGTTAAGATAAATTGCCCACCGACATAATAAACATCTTCATATTTATGGCCCTCGAAAAATGGAATCCTAATTTACCGGGTCCAACGAGGAATCCCGTATAACAGTCTTGAAGACCATACAATTACTACTACTACTGGATACAA